TACCCATGTAGAGCTAGAGTAAGTTTGTATTTTGCTATTTGTTATACTAATTAAATTGCTCTATTTAGTTTATATATTTTTAAATAGGCTATTCATCCCCCTCTAGCCATATTAGGACCTTTCACCAGCCTCGCTCGGGTCATCTTCGGCCGAGCTGGCTTGTCGGTAAGGTCACTAGTGAGTTGTCGTTGCTCACCCACTACCCCTACCGCCTTGTTGTTGCTGCGGCTCACTAGAATGCCATCGCCATTGCCGTAGGGTGCCCACCGTCATGGAGAGATCCTTCTATGGCGTCCCGGCTCGTGCAACCGCCGCCCATCGTCTCACGTCGAACCCTAGGTGAGCGTCGGCCTCGTAGATAGGTCAGCGTGGGTCCCGTGTGGCTGGTGTAAGCGCCAGTGCCACCGATCACCGCGCCCGTGTGCGCGGGGATGGTCGAGGGCCTTGCCGTTGTAAAGAGGAGAAGATCCGAGGGTTTCGTTGCAAAGTCGCTGACTATAGAAATAGTACATGTAGTGTTCGCGCTATTTTCTGATAACGCGAGGGCATTTTTGCTAATGTGCCAGCGCGCGGGATCTCCCCACCGTGGGCCGCCTCGCGCTGCAGGTCAGTCTCACGTGGGCCACGCCTGTGGGCCGCCGCGCGCGCGCGTTGCGCCGCGTGGGCCGTGTTGGGCCAAAATCAGTTTAGCTTTTTCGTGGAGAATAGAATAGCTTTTCATTTTAATTCTGAGATGAACTTTGGTAATTAATATAAAATAATATAGGTATCCAAAAATTATGAAACCAATTTTTTTAAGTTCCTAAAATTGTGCTCTATCTGTTAGTGTATTTAGTTCATATATATACTTGTCAATACCAGGAGCTATTAAATCATTTGAGAGTGTTTAATATTATTAGGTTAAATATTGTAGATATTTTTGTGGCAAAATGGTGATAGCTTTAGCTTTAAAATTTTTATAGTAGCTTCATGATATTATTATGTGCTCACTGTAATTTTTGTAGCTTTAGAATAGATTTAACATAAGGATAGTTAAATGTTCTTTGTTTCAAATATACATTAAATCATTAGTAGAAATAGAGATATATCCTTCCATTGTAAAGCTAGGTGTCTATTAGTTGAACCCAATACTTTACTTGATGAAGATGATAGTTAGTTTAGTATCTTAGTCATTAGAGCTAGCTTAGTAGTTTACCATGTGTATTCTTATTTTAAGAGTTGTTGCTGAAATGCTAAGTGTTGCATCATCATCGCATGCATGTAGAGAACGAGTTGGCGGAGATCATGACCATCGGAGATCATGAGTTCGAGGAGATGATTGAGGAGTATGAGGAGGAGATCCTTGTGCAGGAGGAGGTCCCGGAGCCACCACTGACTGACTGAGCTGACACCGTGCCTGCCCAAGGCAAGCCCCGGTGCATAACCCTTATTTTGAATGATCACTAGATATATATATATATGCGATGTGCATTTACGTTACAGGATTTATATTGAAACTATATGCATAGATAACCTACCTATGAGTCCTACTAGCATAGGTTGAGTAGTTACTATGCTTAGGATATCGGTAGCGTGAGTAACCTACCGTTACTCACAATAGTGATTATTATTATCACCCTCATGTTAAAATGGTGAAAAGAAATAGAGACGGGGCAGGGATATGGTACGAGTATTGGTGGGTGTTAGAGGTTGTGTCCCGTGGTCAATGGGGCATAGCTTGGTTGCACTGTTTTCCCTGTCCGTGTCGGTTAAGGACTGACCGTTGCATTGGATTCTAGTCAGGTCACAGACTTATTATCCTAAGCACATACTTGCTTATGGGAGCGGGAAGGTTCATTGCTCTCTTGTCGTGGGTTCTGACTCTTTTCCAGACCGACTGATTGGAGGCAGGGATGGTGGAGGTCTAAGCACCACACTGAGTCTGGGACTCAGGTGTGGGGGCTTGGAGTCTAAGTTTGGACGGGGACCTAGACCCCTTGATAGGAGAGTGGTGGGTTGGTTCTGCTTGTGCCTAGGGTACAAGCGAGGCTTGTGTTTCGGGGTACCTAGCTGGGCTACATTGGTTCGTGAATCACCGTGTAATACGGTATGACTTGTCTACGATCTAGCACCGTAGTAAGAACTGGAAGATGAAAGATGGTAAAATGGATCTGATTGCTCAACTCTTGCTTGAAAGTAAAATAGGTGCTTACATAGAATGGTTAGCTAATGATCTAATCATGACTGCTAATAAAACACATACATAAGGATTCACTACTAGTAATGCTTTTTCGCAAAAAGGAAACCCAGCAAACCATAAAGCCTATCATATCCTTTGGAGTGAGGAAATTATTTTCACTAGTCGGGTAAGTCTTGCGAGTATATTGTGTACTCAGGGTTTGTTCTACCCTGTTGCAAGTGCAGCTTGAGGAGTAACTGTTGTGTGGAGGATTCTTCTGGTGGGCATAGACGGATCCTTGTATCTTATCGTTAGATGTTTATTTTAATTCCGTTGTTTAAATTCCGTACTCTGAACTTGGTATTGTAATAATGTATTTTTGAGAACTCTTGTTGTATGAAATGGACTAACTATTGTAAACTCGTTCTCATTATTGGATCCTGGAGGAACAACATGGATTGTTTGAGTTCTCCCTTGGGGTGTGCTCGATGGAACTGTCTGATGTAGCTAGCTTTCGGGGTGCTTAGGGTCTGGTGGAAGACGAGTGCCTCCAGAAGCGTGCTATTCCGGGCGGTTCTGTCACACACACCAAGTGGTAGAGAAAAATGATGGTCATGGTGATTGAGGTGGCTAAAAGAGAAGATCAAGTGCTCTAACTTAGAACAGAAGAAAGAGAAAAACAAAAACCAACGATGATCAAGGCAAAGGTATCAATAGGTTTTTGTTTTGGCAATCAAGACACCATAGAGGGTGTGATTGGGTTTAGGATAGATAGTCGTACTATGAAGAGGGGAAAATCATGGTTAAAACGGTTATCAAGTGCCACTAGGTGAATTCATATTTTCATATGCATTAGGACCTAGTGTGCTAACTTCGAGCCCTTGAAAATTCTTTGAAAATATGCTAACACACATGCATAATGGTAATACACTTGGTGTTTAGCACTTGGGAGCAAGGGTGAAGAGATTGGAGATGAAATTCTTTGAAATGATCGACCGGACTCTGGCTTAGGGTGGACCGGACTCAGGGGTGTCAGGTTCGGTGCCTAACCCTAGGCATGCGGGCTTTGCTGTGGTCGGACTGGACCCTACCAGGGTAGGGGTTCGGACCATCTTCACCGCATCCGGTTGATCAGCGAAGGTGGCGCGTGGGACATGTGGCGTTGCAAGGATGATCGGTGATGCTCTGGACTCCGTGGGTGAGTTCGGTCGGTTGAACTAGACCTAGTTCGGAGGCGTGGGAACCTCTCTGCGTAAAATTTTCCTTGACCGATCTCTAGTGAACAAGTTGGTTCGGACCGGCCGCTGCCACTATGCGCGCGTCCGGTCAGGACACGTGGCAAGGCAACGAGCGAGAGCAGTCAGACCGGACTCAGTCGGTGCGTCCGGTCGCCTAGACCGAACAAGGTCCAGTCACTTTGGAGCTCTCTGGATCATCTCTGGAATCAACTGGACTCGCGTGCGTTGAGGGTCCAGTCGCTGGCCTAGGGGTCCGGTCCAGAGCTCTGCCATAGCCGTTGAAGGCACCAATGGTTGAATTTGATTGAGGGGCTTACGTGGCATGCTGTGGTTCACTGGTGGAGCGACTGGACCCACAGTGTAGCGGTCCTAACCAGGGTTCGGTCGCTGGGTCCGGTGCCCCTTCGATAGCCCAACGACTAGTGTGACTTGGGGGCTCTATGAATAGAGCTTGGCTGGCTCTAACTCACTCTCTTAGACATTTTGATTATCCATAGATCCTTGTGAGCTAAGTCAAACCTCTCCCACTCAATCTCTTGCTTGATTGTGCATCCAAGTGGAGTGATCCAAAGTGCATTTGCTTCAGTGATTGCATCTAGTGGCACTTGGAGATCGTTCTAGCTGCAGTTTTCTTGTTACTCTTGGTGGTTGCCGCCACCTAGACGACTTGGAGCAGCTTGAGGAGGTTGACACGTGTTGGTGAATGTTCGTGGCCATCTCCCGATAGATTTATGAGGGGTTCTTGGGCTTATTCCCCGGCGGAGCGCCAAAAGCACTGTTTATGCCCCCAGCAACGGCGCTAGAAATGTTTGCCGATGGTTCATATGTGTGTATGTAGGAAAGGGGATTCCGCAAGCGCATAAAACTATCGTGTAGCACTTCGCTTGGTGAGTACCAAGTGTCGAATTTATATTTTCCCAATGGAAGGCGGGAGGACGTGTTGGGATCTGTGGTTAGGTAGACTAAGTAAGTATGTCTAGCAACACGGGGGTGTTGAGGGTAGTATGGATGATGGATGGAAAAAGATAAAAATGGTTGAACACACCAACAGAGGTAACTAGAAGTGTAGTGTAGCTGAGTGTAAGAAGTAAATTATGTAATCTTAAAGCAACAAAAGTAACTTAATGATAGTGAGAACGTCCTTAGTACGAGGGGCATACTTACGTTGGATTTAACCGAACACGAAGCACAACGAGCGTTATTTTCAATTCGTTTGCTCTTATAAATTAGCTAAGACTTAAGATGCCGAGCGTACAACGCATAGGGGATACTGACATTACACTGAAATAACAAAATGCACACATTAGATAGGGATAAGGATAACCAAGGGTAGGATGGTCATTATATTTCATGACCATCCTTGCTTCCTGTGTCGAAGGCTAAGACAAGTACTGTGAAACATGGGGAGTAAATACATATGTATATAACTATATATATACACCGATGTGCAATTAGTCGTTACCTCCAAATGCACACTGCATCTCTTATATGCATGCATATTAGTAATGGATCATGCATGTACAAGCCTACGAATTCAATATAACTGGCGATCCTGCTCTTGTTCTCATACATGTCTGATCCATGATTATGCACGGGTTGATTAATTAATTCCTGGAGAAGAGCCTAGTGGAGACGAAGACGCCAAGTGTGAAGGCGGCGACGGCCGTGGTGATCACCTCCTTGTTCTTATTGACGGCCTCCGCCAACTTCATCCCCTCCTCCATGGCGCGGTCCTTCCAGTGCTCGCACTTCCTCTCCCGCTCCGCCTTGGCCTTGGCCTCCGCCACCCTCGCCCGCGCTGCCTCGATCCTGCGCGCGGCCTCGCGGGCGACCTTCTCCCTGTGGTCGGCCCTCGCCTTGTCATCCTGATGATCTTGTTGTTCATTGTCTCCCCTCGCCTTCTCGCTCGGCTGCGGCGGCGGCGGCGGCGCCGTTCCCTTGGCCTTCTTCACGTCTTCCTCTTTGCTTCCCGCCGTCAAGCTCGTCCTCTCCACCTCGGTCCTCTCTTGGCCAACTTTGGCAGCCTTGTCCTCCTGATCAGCCGCTGGCTTCTTATCGCCGGCGACTCGCGCGTCCTCCTTGGCCTGCGGTGGCGGCGGCGGAGGAGGAGGAGGCGGTGCGGGGGCGGCAGCACCGGCGGGCAGCTTGGGCACGGTGAGCGTGAGCACGTTGCTGCCGAAGCGGCCGGTGATGGTGTCAAGGTTGGCCGTATTGGGCAGCTGGAACGTCTTGTGGAGCCGCAGCGCCTTGCCGTCGCCGCCGGGCGTGGGCTTGCGATGTCCGATGACGGTGAGCCGGCCCTCGCCGTCCACGTGCACCCGAAAGTCCTCCTTCTTGAACCCTTCCATTATTTGATTATTCGGCCAACAAGAAGCAGAAAAAGGTGAGTAGTAGCATCTTGAGCGTCGTCAGCTGTCGCCGAAGAGAAACAGTCACCTCACCTGGGAGATCGAGGCGGAGGAGGTAGTTGGCGCCGTCGTCGAGCCACTCGTAGACGGGGTCCACGTTGTCGGCCGCCGCCGGGGCTTGCGTGCTCGCCATTTCCGGTGGTCTCGACAAGACTGACGGCGCCGCGCGTGCTGATGGTGTTTATGATGAGCCTGGTGCCTTTGGTAGCTTGGTCCGTGGCCGTGAGGAGGAGGAGATGGATGGGCAGAGGCCGCAGCGATAGGAGCTTCATATTAAGGGGCGCAGCGCGCGAGCCTTGTTTAATGTAGCGGCTCACTCATTCTAAGCTTTTTCCTGAGGGCAAGAAAATTGTTGTCGATTTCTTTGTGATCACGGAGGAGGCGGTTACCGTAGCAAACTTTTTTGGTTTTGGGTTCAAGGATCGGGATAGGGATCTCAGCTCTGGCGGAGCCACCAATGTACATGCTCCGTTCCGTTGCCTTTGGGCGCGCGGCACGGCAGCACCTCGGCTAGGCTACCTGCTTCACTACGACGTTTTCCGTTGGTCGCACCAACACGACACGGAAGCGCGGTGCCATGTGTGTTGCTCCGAGCTCTGCCGCATGCCCCAATTCGGTATGGCCAGATTGAAACCCTGGTTGAACAGTTGAACTCACGTCTTGTCCTCGCGGATTGGGTGGTGTAAAAACTGTCAATGTCAACTGATGTCCTATCTATTTGGCTGATAAGTCATAACTGAAAGTATTGTTGGCTGATTTGTTGTGAGAGAAAAATATTGTTCGTTTGCTGAAAAAATACGACTTATAAGCCGGACGTGAGAGTGACCGGAGGCATGCGCTGCTTTGGCTTTGCAAACAATAGCAAAAAGAAAAATATATGTGCCGTTATGTCCTTAACAGCAACTTGCTCTGTACCTTTCTATTTGTCGCTATGGTATATGCTCCGTTTAGATTTTCACTTTTCCTCCCTCTCAGGCGCCTGAACGTTCAGGCGATGATGACAGGCAGTGAGTCTGTGACTGTTGGTAGTAGGACTCTGTTGGTGACAGGCAGTTAGGAGTATGATTGTTGCCTGAAAAACTACTACATTTCAGATATGAAATATAGCATATCCCTTATTTTTAAATTTAACTAAGTTTATATAAAATATTAGTAACATTTATATTTCTAAATAATTTTATTATAAAAATAGATTCAACGATCTATCTAATGATTGATACAATCATGTACCATAAATATTAATATATTATATATATTTGGTCAAAATCGATTACGTTTGAGTTTTTGGAAAGTTAGAACGATGGTTACAAAGGAACATAGGGAGCACCCTTTTGCAGAATTTTGCAAGGACTCAACGTTGTTTTTCCTTCCCATGATAAAAAAACATTGCTTTTCCTTTTCATAATCCCAAATAAAAGCTGGAAAATATAATTACATAATGTACGTATACCACAGTAAACAATCCCACTATTATCCAGACATCCAAACGCATTACTGAGATGGAATGAACATAGAAGTGAACACAGCAATCACCCTAAATCCAGACGCATGACTGACGAAGGAATGAACATAGAAGTGAACACAAAGTAGTCACCATCATATTTGACAAGCTTAACAACAGGTCTCAATCAACAGAAATTATTAACAGGGCACTGAGAATTAAAACATAAGGTCAATCCTAATATTTGCCTATGAAATAGATCATGGAGAGAAAAAATCTATAATTCAAGATCAAAATGGTGCCACAAAGATGACTCCAGGCCATGTTTATTCCAATCCACCTGAACCCAAAATAAAAAACCCTAGAGCCTAAAACACTCAGCATTTCAGTGCTTGAGCAACAAGGACAGGCCAACTTTCGTACTCTTCTCAATTGCCTTGGTGTCGACCTCACCAGAGATGGTGATGAATGACTTGGGACGCCATTCATGCTGGACAAGGGCACTGGCCATGCCATAGTTGTTGAAACGTGCCTTGACAGTCGTGTGGGGATCAAGTGAGTGCTGAGACCCAAAGATTAGTGTGCTCTCATTTCTTGAGACGCTGTGAGACAGCTCAGCTCCAACAGCAGTGCCCGAATGATGCTTCACCAAGTGGTAGTAGGATGCAACCAGGGTATCACCATGGTTATTCCTGATTAAGATTTTCATGGTTATTTACCATAGTAAAATAGGAGTGGTTGTAAGACCAATGTTCAGTAAAGATGTGATACTCACAAATGAAGGGAAGCAATAAGATCTGGACTGGTGAGGCTCAGGGCAGCATTGTACTTGGTGAAATTGCTAGTCGCCGTATCAAATGAAACATCAACGCCAACTGAGAGTGCTTTGCTTCCAAAGACACCAGAAAGGTTAACCATAGGGTTGGGATTAAGCCCGATGCTTGCATTCACACCAGCATATTCATGTAGGTACTGGAGTTCAAGCTGATAAGACAAAAAAGGAGGATAATTGTTTTCCTTACTGGTTACCATGTTGTTCGACACAATTGAGCAAATCACAATTGATTAAATCCATAGAGTTAAAAAAAAACATACCTTCCCTGACCTCTGGTCCGGAACAACCAAACTGAGAATTGATTTGAGCCCTGGAGTGCCAAACTCATCAACAGTGATTGTTGTCAACAGCTGTAAGATGAATCCAAAAGAAATTCGTAAGTCTCAAGAAAAAAGGTTTCCTCACAAGTCGAGAATACTATGCATAAAAAACAGTTAAATGTGCAAACCAAAATAGAACAATGTGAAAAACAAAAGCAGCAACTAGATTCTCATAAACATGGTTAGTTTGATAGAGAGAAGTGGAACACCGTCAAGTTTGCTTACATCTGATTCTGAGTTCGCTTTGACATCAACCATCAATTTCTTGTTCTTAATCTGGGTGTGAAGCTCACCAAAGATGGACTCATTTTTCCTTGTTCCTGCAGCTGTGATTGCCTGTATGGAAAATCAAGATCATTGCCACAGAGCAAATCACATATAGAACTTGAGATACAGAAAACCAATACTGCATTCTGATCCCCTACTCGTCTATTCAGTAAAACATCATCAACTCACGCGCCTGAAGCTTTGTTGTGTTACCACCTTCAAAATGCACGATGCAATTACAGGAAAAGGAGGGGAGACCAGAACCACAGTAATTAAGAGAGAGGATATCCTGAACATGCATAATCTAATCTAGAAAATACAGGACCCCTTATCCTCTTTTTAAAAATAAAAAAATACAGGACTCCAAGTATGAGATTCGGCACACATTGTAGATTTGTAGGCAATACTAAAACAGTGATCGCTAGAGGGGACGGCTCTCTGCAGAGAACCAGCAAGAGCGACCTAATCGATTGGCCAGTTGGAAATGGGCGTGGAGTTTCCATCTGTTTGGCGACACCGAAAGGAATCGAACTACAAGTAATTCACTCCAATAAGGACTACGTCATGGGGTTCTCATCTAGTGACATGATTAGGAGGAGATGGTGATTGATTAGGAGGGAAGGAGCACTCACGACGCCATGGGGCGAGCAGGTGGTGAGGGAAAACTTCTGGTGCGTGTTGTAGTCCTTGTACAGCAGATCTGCGCGCAAAGGGAAACGAGACACCACGCGTCAGGATCAATCGGTTCCCGGGCACCGGAGAACATGAACAGTACTCAATCAGGAGGTAAGAGGAGGGCAGAGATGGCGTGCTAGACCTCTGGTCTTCTTGCCGATGTCGGTGTAGAGGCCGGGTGCCATGGTGGCGGCGGGCGGCGGCTAGACGAAGACGGGTGGTACGGAGGAGAGAGAGGGGGTGAGATGGCAGCGGCGGAGGCGGCGACCAGTTAAAATGGAGCCGCGGCACGCGGCAGATCTTGCTTCTTTTTATTTTCCTTTTTTTTTTGGCTTTCAGGAATAATCACATCATCGTGTCTCCTCGTGCTTCGCGGGACGTGGGATGCAACCCGCGGAGGCGGCCAGCTGGGCCAGGCTCTTCGGGACCCACATCCACGTCACATGTGGACGCTCGCCGTCGCCTCGCACGTGTGTGGACCGGAAAGCAGTTTCGGCGACCACGGGCTTTTATTGGGCCTCTACGGGTTGCAGCCCGGCCCACAGTTTCCTTAGCCCGGCCAACAGCAGCCTGTTCGCTTGCTCGTAAACGATCGTAAATTTCCAGCCGAAAACAGTGTTTTTCTCTCACACCAAACCAGCCAGCAGTAAATAATCCACGATACGATACGGCCTCCCGAACAGACCGCAGATTCCCAAAGCCCGTCCGCCAGGGAGCACTATGCTGCAGCTGCACACACGTGCGAGCTAAAAAAAAAACTCCAACAATCGACCTTTAAGCTACCTTTTAGTATTTTTTCATATGGTGGGGCGCCTTTGGTATCCCAGTATAGCAGGTCTCAAGCTCTGATAAAGGTTGAGGGTTATGTTAGGCGCGGCGAGTCAATGTAACAACTTAGCCACTTTTATAGAGATGAAACCTAAAAGAATCCCGTTGGGGCGTAACAGCGTAACCCTTTTAGCGACGTGCCATGTCGGAACCAGGATATGGTGTTAAATGAGCAAGGGTCAGGTCGTCACCCCCGTGACGCGTCGTGTCGCGATCTGGGCACGGTGTCGAGTGAGCAAGGATCGGGTCGTCGCATCTTTAGTGGCGTGTCACATCGGCGCCCGGGTGTGGTGCAAAATGGACAAGGGTCTTCACACCTACCTCGGTGGGTGCGAAGGGTAAGGAAGCTAGTTGAGCCAACTAGGATCCGTTTAGGTAGCTGCAATATAGGGTCCCTTACGGGTAAATTAAGAGAGTTAGTGGATACAGCGGTTAAGAGGCGTGTAAATATATTATGCGTCCAAGAGACTAAATGGAAGGGGCAGAAGGCGAAGGGGGTGGACAATACCGGCTTCAAGCTCTGGTACACAGGGACAACTTCAAATAAAAATAGAGTAGGAGTTTTGATTGATAAGAGCCTAAAAAATGGTGTGCTGGAGGTGAGAAGGTAAGATGATAGGATTATCTTAGTTAAACTTGTCATTAGTGATATGATCTTAAACGTAATTAGTGTGTGTCGGGTTCATAAACCCGAGGTCCCTCATGGACCGACTTCCCAGCAAAGGTTCGGCCCGGCAGACAACATTGCGAATGACACGCAACTCGTG